TTTGCCTGAGTCAGGCTGTTCCCAGACTCCTGCCCTGCCCACTTGCTTACATAAGACATTCAGTCAACCTCAGAAATTTGGAACTCTTCAGAGAAGCTTGAGCTGGGCTGGAGGAAAGAAAAGTCTGACCTCCCAGCAAAACTGCCCCCCCCTTTCTTACCCCCTTTCACCTACTTTTGGAGCAGTAAGCCTTCCCCTGAGTTTTCTTTGGCATTTTCACTCTTGGAACCCAAATTCCCCACCCAAACCTCTCACATCGAAATGATAAAAGAGGGCTCAGGGCTGGAAAAGCAGGCATTAGGTTTCCAGTTCTATTTGTGTGACCTCCAGCAAGTCAGTCCTTTCTCCAGGTCTCAGTTTCCCTATCTGAGAAATGATCTTTGAAAACTCTACAGTTCAATTTTGGGTTTCTGTCAGTTAATTACTATTTACTGGCTAGGGGAAGAAGAGGAAGAAGACACAGACTTGAAAAACAAAAACCGTGTGAGCCGATGGCTCACACTTGTAATCCTAGCTACTCAGGAGGCTGAGATTTGAGGATCATAGTCAAAGCCAGCCTGGGCAGGGAAGTCCTTGAAACTATTATCTCCAATAAACCACCAGAAAACTGGAAGTGGCATTGTGGCTCAAGTAATAGAGCTCTCACCTTGAGCTGAAGAGCTGAGGGACAGCGCCCAGGCCCAGAGTTCAAGCCCCATGACTGACAAATAAAAAACAACACTTAGCATGTTACCCAAAGGATAAGTGGAGTGGATTCATGGTCTCTTTGGAGAAAGAAGGGTGAAGGCAGGAAGCAGCTGAGCTGTGCAGTGAACTAGTATGGCTGCAGAAAGGTCCAGGTATTCAGCTGTGAGGAGCTCAGACCAGGAAGAGGGGAGGATGTATTGTTTGGGTTTTGGAGGAGGCTTATTTCAGGAGGCAGTAAGATTTGAGAGGGATATGAAACATGGGTATTGCTTGGGAAAGGAAGCAAATCTGGACCCCAGAGGTTATGAGTCTCTGGATAGAACTGGGAGGGGCGGGGAGGAGGGAGAAATGCCCTTAATCAGTTCCTGACTTGATGTGGACAGGACGATCCTCCAGAGGTCGCTGTTCCCCAGGCATCATCAGAGCAGCCAGGCCTGGTGTCCCACGGGTCCCCTCGCTCAGCAGCTGCGAGGGAGGCCTAAGTGGCTCTGCAACACCTCAGTAGACGCAGGGACGGAGCCTGATTTCCCTGCTACATGCGTATGTGACTGGACTCACAAAGTCACATATGGATTCGAAAAGGTGAAGTGTAACCCGGGTGTGCGCAGATGTGCTACTCGATTCCTACTTCTAGGCGACCTCCTTCCGGCGTTATCCCAACTCAGGACACAGAGCGTCCCCTTTGCTTATGGCTCACTGCTCTACCACCGGCCGGGTATAAACGGTAGGAAGAAGGCCTCGGCCTTCACACACCCCTCCTCCTCCCAGTCACAGTAAACGATCAGCAGCACCCCACCCTCACAAACCATCTTTTCCTGCTGGGGTCTAGCTGCTGCCCCAGAGCATTTGCAGTCCCGGGATCAGGTCTCCTTGAATCAGGCCCTGGAAGAAAGCTGGAGGCCTGGATGGTTCTCGTTACCCGGGTCCTGAGCACTGCACTGCACCCAAGGTTGGTTGGGGGGAGGATGCGGATCGGGCGCTGTCGTCTGGCCTTATCCCACCACACAGACACTCAGAGCGGACAGACACAACACGTGGACAGATACACGGGCCATCTGATCCAGGGAAAGAACCCACCAGCATGTCCTTCAAGTCCTGGAGCTCTCTCCAGCACACCCGCGAGTGTCCACCCCTGCCGGCATGGCGGGCGAACTTGGGAGGATCTGCGGAGCCGGCCACCGCTGCCAGGGTGGGAGGGAGCCCGCAACCCTCTTCCCGCGAACCGCAATGGGCAATCTCCGCGCGGTAGCTTGCGTGGCCGAGGGGTGACCAAGCACTCTCTCCCCAGGACGGTGGAAATTCGTGAGCTTTGCTATGTGGCAATGTGCGCCACACGCAGAGGCGCCTGGCCCCCGGCACTGGGGAGCAGACGGGCTTCAGGGACCGAGATCCATCCACACCGGAGCTCTGCGGACAGGACCAGGAAGGGCGTGTAACCACGCCACCTGAGGCCTCCCTCTGCAGTCACACGATGTGGGGGTCTCTTGCCCTCACTCTAACCCAAGGAATCCAAACACTCCACCACAGGTTTAGATCTGAGGCTGAGAAAGGACATGAGTTGGGGGGGGGGGGTCGCTGAGGCCAAACTAGGGTTATGCTCCAGAATTGCAGCCCTCTAGGGAAAGGACTAACGCTGGTCTCACAGCTTGCCTTAAGGCTCGACAGTCTGACGAGTCAAATTCGAGAGATGTATGGGCATGGAACCCTGGTCCAGCCTAGGCATTCCTCAGCAGCCCTGTTTCATGCAGAAACAGCCCTCTCTTTCCACCTCCAAACTCCAGAAGGCCTCAGGCTACTTTTCTACCAGTGTCCTGGGACAAATGCCTCTTCCAGTATTTCTGCTCTCCTCCAGTTTTAATATTAATTTAATTATATCCATACAATCGCCTGGGGGCTCTTCTTTCCCCATCCTCAGAAAATGGCCTGTCCAGAGAGACCACAAGAAGAAGGAGAGGAAGAGACAGCCTGGATGCCTCTGAAAACAACACCCTGCCCAATAAACACCAATAAACACAACTTCACCTGGGCTGTGAAAACACTTTAGAATGGTTACCCCATGGCCAGGCACTGCATCTCTCCCCAAATGCTTCCTCCCAACTTTCTGGGCTGCTTGTGCCAGCTGGCTGGCAGCAAAGCAGATGGAGAAGATGCTGGGGACAACCAAGACTGGCTTAGCACCCATGGAACCTACTGTAAGCAAGGGTCTGGAGCCCAGGCTTCCAGAATCACCTCTAGATCTTTGCCTAGGCAACAACAAACTGCGGTGGGACAGTAAGTATAGCTGGACAACATAGAAAAGGCTGACCCAGAAAGGCTGGGGCCATTGGAGAATTGAAGAGGCTGACCCTGAATTGAGGGGGTAGGAGGAAGAACTATTTGAGAATCGAAAATAAAACCAATCTTGAATCCTGGGGGAGGATGTCCTCCTATCTTTCACAGAATCTACCCTAGACACTATTTAAAATGAATTAAACCAAAGCCATGGATGGGATAAGCAAAGAATAGAAACCTTCACAGACAAGAGGGGAGCTCAGTCAAGGAAGATAGCTACTTGAACTAAGTTGGGCTAGAAATCTGAACTGGGTCCATCCTAAATCAGTCCGTGTCTGTTTCCACTCCTATAAACTTGTATATGAAGAGCCTGGGTGATTCCTTAAGATCATATGTCACTCTACTGTGCAAAACGGACTTGGAGGTTCTTATACAGTAGATTTTCGTTATTGTCGGGCACGGGGTTTGAACTCACGGTCTGGGCTCTGTCCCTGAGCTTTTTTGCTCAAGGCTAATGCTCTACCATTTTGAGCCACAGCACCACTTTTTGTTTTCTGGTGGGTAATTGGAGTTAAGAATCTTGTGGACTTTCCTGCCCGAGCTGCCTTTTAAACATAATCCTCAGATTTTGGCCTCCTGAATAGCTAGGATTACAGGCATAATCCTAGGTACTAGCAGGCATCTGGCTTCAAGGAGGCTGGCATGTGGAGTATAAACCCAACTGAGGATAAAGCAGAACAGACTAATAGCTTCTCTGAGTCCACTGAGCTCCACAATATGTTCTCAGGAATTTTTGGATGGAAATTTGTTAAAAGCTCATGTAATAAATCCTCCATCAAGACAGGCTTACTGTGCTTCTTTTCCGCAGTGTGGGTGTCAGCAGAGAGGGTATAGCAGAGCCAGGCAGAGGCAGGGGCTGCCAGCTGCACTTTGATAATAGTGTCTTCTCTGGAACATTAGAACCGGGAAATGTGGGAAATGTCTGTCAGTTCTACCCTGAAGCTAGGCAGAAGATTGGAGCCTGAGAAGTCAGAACATCACTGGCAAGGCAGGAAGCTACCCATTCCTGTTTGCCGTTTTCCAAATGAAGGTATTCAGAAGGTGAGATGGATAGGACCAGACCAGTGCTGCTTTTCTCCCCACTTATTTGGACACAAGCAGAGCTGAGCCAGGTTGGAGTCAGTGTGTGGTCAATGGTGTGGGATAGCTATGAGTGAGGTCCTGGGAATGAGAAAGAGATCTCCGTGTAGTAGAAAGCAAGCCTGAGGTATGTGTACAGCTGCCAGATAAAACATATCTGCTAAATCTAGCAACCCAAGGTATGTTAGTTTATCTGTACTTAGGACAGAAACTTCTCACCAAGACTTTTTTGTTTCCAGAGGACCCTGCCAACACTGCAGTTCTAAGCTAATGGCTGTCTAATTTAAGGTCGCTGGTTTGAGGACTGGGCCACTTCAACTTTCCCCCAAGAACCTATCAAGAACATATCATTTTTGCAGACCCAGTGGGTCCCAAATATGGACCAGACCTGCCTCCTATCCTCTTCTACTCTGAGTTTGGGAGGATGAAAATCTCTATTGTGAGGATTTTACAAGTGTTACAAGTGTTAGAACCCAGTCCTGTTCTATCTCCTTGCAGGAGACTGGGTGTGTCCTTTCCCCCTCTCTGAGCCTCTGTAGCCCTAGCTGTAGGCTGAAGAGCTGGATTTATCTAGTCTCTTCTGATGACTGCAGTCGGATAAAATAACTCATCCAGTCTCACATCCACTCTGCTAAGATTTAGGCTGTACACCCCCACCCCATCTACAGAGAACTGATGAGTTCAGCACAGTGACCAGATGTGGTACCAGGACTTGAGATTCAGGTGAGAGACTATATCACTCACTAAACACCTTTTCTCCCAGGAAAAAGATCCCTAAGAATCTGTAAAGTTCTCTCTTCTTCTCAATACTCTCCTTAAGCACACTGGAATATAGCTACTGTTACATATTAATCATGAAATAGGTGTTCTAAATCTCATTTTGATAGAGGAAGAAAACTTACCCAATGGGCAGCTGGTAAGTACTGAAGCTAAGACTGGAAAACCAAATGCTGAATAAGTCTTCAAAGCTCACGCTGCTCTTCGCGGCTATACAGACCAGGAAACTGAGGCTCTAAAGAGAAAGTTAGCTAAGGACAGTCACATCAGCCTTTTGACAGTGGAGCGCAGCAGGAACTCAGGCTCAACGCTGGAGCTTTGGCCACTGCGCGGCGCTGTGGGGGCAATGGCCGCCCCATCCGCGCCCTGGTCCAGCACTGGACCTCCTCTTCCACGCTCCAGAAATTGAAACAGGCTCAGTGGCAGCTAGAGTGATCAGTTTCGGGTCCTGGAAGTAAGCTAGTGGAGAGAGGCCTAATAGGATGGGCTGGAACCAGGCTGATATTAAAACAAACAAACAAAAAAGCTCCCAGGGCCAGCCAACTAGTGCAAGAGATCCCGAGATAAAGAAAACACTAGCCCGGGGGCTCAGGTCAGGGCTCACCGAGGAAGGTCTCCGAGAGAGTCCTGCAGTCTGGTACCTAACGCCCCGAAGCCCCGCGGCTGGAGGAGTGGGGATGGGGGGGGCGCTCTCAGCGCGCCTTGGGCGGAGGTAAAACAGAGGGGGGAATTGAGCGAGGCACTCCCAGACCCACAAGGGTGGACCACCCAACTCCAGAGTTTCCTTAGGATCGAGACAAACATTCGCCGAGGGCAAGAGTCTAGAGATTGAGACGCCCAGATAGTAAACCGTCGGGAGCACAGGCAGTCTCGGGGCGAGGGATCCATCTCCGTCCCGGGGATCGAGCCGCAGCGGACCGCGAGCAGGCGGCGCGCTCCCGGGGTCTCTCCGGGGATGGTGTCGGGGCCACGATCTCGGAAGGACAGAGGAATGTCTCACCTTTCTGAGGTCGCTGAGCAAGGGCGCCAAGTTTTCACATCGCGATCACTGCCCTCCCCGTTCACATCCCCGCCCCACCCCACCCCCAGCGGGAAGCCCGGTTTGGCGGGCCTGGTGTCCACCGCGTTAGTCCGGGCTTCTTAGGCTCCCGCAGCAGTTCCAAGGGCGCATGGGCCGTGGTGGCCCAGGCACCGCCTCGGGGAGATGGTAGGTGTAGGCTGTCGCTACTGCGGCCGGCGCCCGAGTGAGCCTGAACTTCCAAGAGGCCGAGCGCGCGGAAGGCGCGGGGCTCCAAAGAGTCCAGGGTTTGCGGGAGCGGCGGGGAAGCGGACGACCCGCCTCCAGCCTCGCGAGCCCAGCTCCCGCCGCGCCGGAGGTTTGTTCCCGCCGAGCCCTAGCGCCCAGGCCCTCCGCCCGCCCCCTTCCTCCCCGCCCAACCCCGCCTAGGGAGCTCCGCCCCGGGTCCACGGTTCTTCCGCTCCCTGCAACCGCTAGGCGGGCGGGACTAATTCCTCGACCCCCCCAACCCCCCCGGGAAATTAGGGACCAAGATCGGCCGGAGTAAGACGCGACACGGCTCCTTCTGCCTGGGGCGTCCTGGGTACAGGTCCCGACTCGGGGCCTCCGGAGTCCGCGGAGGGAAGAGTCGGGGCGTCCCCCCTCCCCGGCCCCCACTCCCGGCAGGGTGTAAGTGGCCGCGGCAGACCACCAGGGGGCGCTGCGGAGCCGGGGGACACCCCTCCCGGTCCGCCTCGGTCCCCCGCCCCCTCCCCGCCCGCGCGCAAAACACACTCGCCCCAGAGGCAGCGCGGCCCGAGCCGGAGCCGCGGCCGGAGCGGAGCCGGAGAGCGGCGGCGGCGGCGGCACCATGACCCTGGGCAGCTGCTGCTGCGAGATCATGTCCTCCGAGAGCTCCCCGGCCGCGCTGTCCGAGGCCGACGCAGACATAGACGTGGTGGGCGGCGGCGGCGGCGGCGGCAGCAGCGGGGGGGAGCTCCCTGCCCGCTCGGGGCCCCGCGCCCCCCGGGATGTGCTCCCCCACGGCCACCAGCCTCCGCTAGGGGACGCGGAGGCCGACGTAGCGGAGGACGAGGAGGAGTCCGGTGGCTGTTCGGACGGCGAGCCCCGCGTGCTGGCGCCCCGGGCGGCCGCCGCGGGAAGCCCAGGGCTAGGCGCGGCGGCGGCGGCGGCGGCGGCCCGGGGCGCGGCGGGGCCGGGGCCGGGGCCGGGACCGCCGTCGGGGGGCGCGGCGACGCGGAGCCCGCTGGTGAAGCCGCCGTACTCGTACATCGCGCTCATCACCATGGCCATCCTGCAGAGCCCCAAGAAGCGCCTGACGCTGAGCGAGATCTGCGAGTTCATCAGCGGCCGCTTCCCCTACTACCGGGAGAAGTTCCCCGCCTGGCAGAACAGCATCCGCCACAACCTCTCGCTCAACGACTGCTTCGTCAAGATCCCCCGCGAGCCGGGCAACCCGGGCAAGGGCAACTACTGGACGCTCGACCCGGAGTCCGCCGACATGTTCGACAACGGCAGCTTCCTGCGGCGCCGCAAGCGCTTCAAGCGGCAGCCGCTGCCGCCTCCGCACCCGCACCCGCACCCGGAGCTGCTGTTGCGTGGCGGGGCTGCAGCCGCGGGAGACCCCGGCGCCTTCCTGCCGGGCTTCGCCGCTTACGGCGCCTATGGTTACGGCTACGGTCTGGCGCTGCCGGCCTACGGGGCACCCCCACCGGGGCCGGCCCCGCATCCGCACCCACACCCGCACGCCTTCGCTTTCGCCGCCGCCGCTCCTTGCCAGCTATCGGTTCCCCCAGGCCGCGCGGCCGCACCTCCACCCGGACCTCCGACGGCCTCGGTGTTCGCCGGCACAGCGTCGGCTCCGGGCCCGGCTCCTGCTCCGGGATCCGGCCCGGGCCCCGCAGGCCTGCCCGCTTTCCTAGGCGCAGAGCTAGGCTGCGCCAAAGCTTTCTACCCCGCATCCCTGAGTCCTCCAGCAGCTGGGACAGCGGCCAGTCTGTCCACCGCACTTTTGCGCCAGGGTCTCAAGACGGACGCGGGCGGCGGTGCGGGCGGCGGGGGCGCAGGGCCAGGGCAGAGGCCTTCCTTTTCCATAGACCACATCATGGGCCACGGTGGTGGCGGGGCCGCACCCCCGGGCGGCAGCGAGGGTTCCCCGGGGTCGCCGTTTGCTGCCTCCGCGGGTCCTGGAAGTCAAGCCCAGGTCTTGGCCATGCTGACTGCCCCCGCCCTGGCTCCGGTGGCCGGCCACATCCGTCTGTCGCATCCCGGGGACGCACTCTTGTCCTCGGGGCCCCCGTTTGCCAGCAAAGCCGCCGGCCTCAGTGGCTGCCACTTCTGACCGCACAGGGGCTCAGGGCCGGTTAGGCCCGCACTGGTCCGCCTCTGCCGGAGCTCCTGGGGCCCCAGCGGAACTCAGGGAGTCTTATTTATGACGAGTCTCCAGACCTGGGCCGGAGCGGGTTGACTTGGCACTTGGGGGCGGGGGGTGGTGGTGGGGGAGGCTCCAACGCGCAGAATGTCGCCGAGAGTTGGGACGAAGCGGGCTTCCAACGCTCTGGGCGAGGCCCGGGTCTACGCAAAGAGGTCCCAAGCCAAGATCCCCTTCCATTTTGATCAGTAAAATAGGAGACGGGGAGCCTGTGCTTTCTTCCTGCCTCGGTGCCCCGATCGAAGCCCCGGAAGAAAGCTTTCCTGGACATATGCCTGCTGGGGCCCTGCGGATCCCGCCAGAAACCCACGGGTGTGGAGAAGTGTCAACTCCTTCCTCCCCCCATTCCATTCCTTCCTCAACTTTGAGACCCTGCTTGTCCAATACTATAATTTAAAGACATCTGTTAACCGCTTTGTGCTTAAAAAGAAAAATTCAACGATTTTTTTGTTTTGCTTTTCTCCAAAGAAATTAGAAGCCTAAGGCAGTGTCAAGCGGAAAGGAGAGGTGGAGCTGGGGGTCTCCGCAATCCTTCCAGGAACACCAGATCCCACTCCACTGAGGAAAATCCTTTCTTTCACGTGTTTGGATGTTTTCAAAGAAACTTTCTCTCTCTTTCCCGTGGCTAATCACCCAGGGCCAGCAGCCCTTTCGGCCTCATGCCCTTACCCAAGGCCCTGCAATATTTATTATAGTTAAAGGTGATGAGGTCGGGTGGGAGAGGAGGGTCTGGATCAGGAACTGGAGAGGTAGAGGGGTGGGATGGGCAAGGGCACAGAGCTTTGGCAGGGGGTCCTGTAATTATGTGTAAATATCTGTACAGCGGGCTGCTCTCTGCATTCTCTGTCCACTGGTGTGCATTGATTTAGATTTCTCCACTTAAGGGAGACTGTGAAATCCTCTGATGGTTTGTGTGGAAGAAAAGAAAAATGTCTCTCTCTCCCCGTTGGTGTCAATTGAATAAATGTATGTGAACTTAAGCAGTCACCAGCTCCATCTGCTTGCCTGCACGCCCTTGTCCTTGTCCAGCTCTTAAATGAGACCCTAAGCTTGCCAGTAGAGGGGGAGTGAGGAAGGGCTGGACAGGCAGAGCGCAAGGTTTAGGCTTAGGAGTACTGGAGGTATTTTGGCCTTGGCCTTCAGCTGCTAATGGGGCCAGATCTCTGGGAAGCTTGTAATCCCTCCTGCACTTTCGTTTTCACTCTGGTACTAGAAAGAGTTTTGTCCAGGGATGGGCAGAGGGATGATGTGTCAAATGCACCTGAGGAGTCTCACCTCTTTCTAGTTGAGTTTTTGACATGGCCTAGGCAGATCTGGGAGCTGAATGCTCTTGAATACTATGCCTACTGCGTACAAGATGAATTTATCTCTTGATGTGTGCCTCGGTGTGCAGGGACTTTACACGGAGTTTGTAGTTTGTCTGTGTGTTTGTCTGGGTTGTTTTGCTTTTTAACTTTTTTTGTGTGAATTGTTCTTCAGGATCTGTGTTGTGTGTGTGTATATGTGTGTGTGTGTGTGTGTGTGTGTGTGTGTGAGAGAGAGAGAGAGAGAGAGAGAGAGAGAGAGAGAGAGAGATTTAGCTGTTGTCTTTTTCTAGGAGAAGAAAGATTTCTCTTTGGCCATTGTAGGACTTTTACAATCCCTCCTCCCAGAGTGGAAGGCTTTATTTACAGAATCTCCAAATTGAATTAGAAACCTTTCTCTCCACCATCCTGAGAGGGCTAGAGGTTCACTGTAAACTAAATGAGAGCAAGTGGATTCTCACTGTGTTAGAGCAAAGCTCCTGGTCTCTTGAGCCACATTCACAACGGAAAGCCACTGCCCAGGTGTAAATCCATTGGTCTATTTAGAATGCTCCATAGCCCACTGAACTCTCAGCTCTCTCTCCTGTGCCCAGGATGCCTAATAACTAGGTTTACAAACCTGGCGTGTGAGGGTGTTGTATTGAGTGGAGTAAAGATGGCTGCTTGGCTCTTTTCTTGGTGTGTTTCATTGAGATCACAGGAGAGGAGAAATGTGGACAGACAGGAAGAGGTAGTTCAGCGTTCACAGAAAGCATATACAACTACTAGAAAACAAGTGACAGGAAAGAGCCAGATGTGGAGAACTTGAAGGTGTGAACCGAAAGAAGTTAAGCTAACCTGTTCAGCTAGGATCCCAGCAGCTGGCAATAATAGGAAGAAAGGAAAAGGAATAGGACAAAGGCATCTGTAGAGAGAGGACCTGAATCTGGATGAGGGTTGAAAGAACCACCGGGGCTGGAGAAAGGTTGTTGGGATTTCCTGTTTTCTCCACTAATGGAAAAGACTAGAGATGTGGATGGCAATGCCACTTCTCTCGTCAGAGGTGAGATGCCCTTTTCCTTCACCATACTGAGAGACTAAAGGAGTTCAGAGAGATGGAAAAAACAGTGGGAAATGTCTGTGAATACTGGGATATTGGTCATGGACTGCCTGCTTTGCTGACTTCCATTGTTCTGAGTTTGATTTCGTTTCTTTGCACTTGAAAGGATGAATGTAATTTTGTATGCATGCATGTGTATGCATACACGTACATGTCAGTGCTTATGTTTGCCATCAGTAAAGCACTTTGCAGTTATGTGATCTCATTCACCAG